TTAGATAGAAATTAACGGGCAGAGAGGGACCAGGCCCTCAGAAAGGTACCAGGCCCTTGAACGAGTCAATGCAGAAGATGAGACATATCAAAACTGCGGCAGGAGACAAGGTGGAAGAGAGCCAGGGTTGCAGGCCTCCCTAGAAATAGCCGCTTGGGATCATACTGCAATCAGCACCACCCGGTCCAATAAGGCGAGATAAGGCATCAGATACCTAGGTAGGTGACCAGAGCCCACACTGACCCAGAATGCCTTTGATCCTTCTATATTAGAAGTTATAAATAAGCTAGTTAGTGATGCTCACCATATACCCTTGCTACATGCCTGGCTTCCCTGTTTGATCTACATTAGCTAAGCAACTACACTTGTGACTCCATTGGTTACCCTCCTTTTGGCCAAGAATGGGCTGAGATGTGGTCATTTTCATGTATAAAAACACCCAGACAAAAAGCCCTGGTGTCAACCCCCTTTTGGGTCCCCTCCTGTCTCTCAGGAGCATTCTCTTAATAAAGCTGTCCTATTCTTAACCTCCTTTGTCCTTGTATTCACTATCTGATGATGATCAAGAAACACAAACTCAGCACATCAGACATCTAACAAGCTAGGGGTCACATCCCTGTGACATCAAGTCACTGCTTCTCCTCCTCCACCTCTGCTGTCTCAGGAAAAGCTTGATGGCAGTTTTCTGAGATTAGCAATGTCTGACAAAGCAGCACAAATGGTGCAGGTAGCAACCACAGATGGCTTTACATGTAACAGCAAGCGCCAACCTCCCAGACACCAGACCCACCCCACCCAGGGTGCCCAGCCTGTGGCAACCCTGCAGCAAGCAAAGCAAACACTCGGGTAGGCCAGGAAATCCACAGGCACGCGGCCAGCGCACACAGAGCTCACAGGGGGCACCTGCAGGCACTGACCTGACTGGACACTCATGGAAGGGCTCATCCTGTAGCCCCTGAACGCTCCTTTACAGAAAATCACTCCCTCCCTCCCGTTTGTATTAACTCTCTGCTTAGTTCACCATTTCCTAAATGTTAAGATCAGTATAAGAAAAGATGTTTTTAAAAGTTAGATTTTCTAAAACTCCACAGAATCACAGAATACCACACATATCTTAGTGATAACAAAACACAATAGATATGCCTGGAAAAAAGGAAGAACACGAGTACGAGAATCAAGGTAAGTTCACCAACAGTGAATTAGACATGTTCAAAGAACATCTAAACTGACCACAGGTCCTCTCAACACTTTCAAACACTACCCTACAAAGAGATTTGGTTTTCATCAAGGAAAAGACGAAGCGGTGCTGCACAACCACTGCTAGCCACACATGGCCAACTCCTGCACTCCAGAACTTTGCCTACTGTCAACAGCCCAGGAGAATTCTTCATGGGACACACATTTCCACGAAAAACAAAGCAGGCTTACAGTTTTCAGAGAATGTTTCTCACAAACCCACTCCAAAGGGCAGTAACAGAAGTAACCCAATCGGCTTACAAGCAAGCAAAAGGAGGTTGCTGATAGCAACTCTGCTCTTCAGACAGGTGCAGCGATATTTGTGGCACAGATGGAGCACAGCCACACAGCAAGAACAGTGTGTCCCTGCTATTTTGGGACAATGGCCCTGGGACCTCAGGGAGTGTCCTGTGAGGCTTTCTGTTAAGCCCATCTGAGAGCTGAAGGGACAGCAGAGGAGGCATTCCACAACCATGGCAGTGAGTCTGACCATGCCACAGACCTGCCCCGGGGACAAAGGGAACAAGAGCAATTGGGTCCGCATCACAGGAATGACTTGTACAACTCCAGCCAGGACAAGGTCGGAATTTGGGTGGAAATGTGATGAAATGAAGTAATGACTTCTGGCTTTAAGTTAGGCTGGATCCTGGAGCCTTTATATTGGGCAAGCAATACACTGACTGGTGTGCTCCCTGATGGCTAACGGGATGAGGACTAATTGCTAAATTACTTAATTAATTTCTGTATACAATGAAACTTCCCCCAAAACATTAACATAAAATAGCATAAAACGGCACACTCACCAGTGCAACAGATTTCTACTGTGAAATTGGCTAATGCAAGTGATCAGGTAAAAGGGCATTAACCATGTACACCCTGTGAGGCAAGGTGAAGAAGATGCTGCTCCAGCAAATGGCACAAGACTGGGCGATGCTCAGAGATGCCCTGAACTCTCCGTGTCACCACAGGCGCCCCAGCCCTCAGATGGACAGCATCACCACAGGCACCCCAGCTCTCAGGCATCCCCAGCTGCCCCAGCCCCCTCACAACATCCCCACAGATTTCAGGGCTTATGTGGCCTACAGGGATAGAATGAGAATCACGTGGACACATGCAGACACACGTCTGCGCCATGACCTGGGAGTCTGTGCAGATGGTGTCTGCATGGAGGAGATGTTACTGGTGAACATCGTCCTACACAGATGCAGAGGGCACAGGGCCCTCCACAGCGGCCACTGTCACAAGAGCACCACATAAGCTGACAAAACACAAATGTTCTGAAGAAGAAACCATACTGTGTGCCAATTTCTAGAAGCATCTAATATTGTTCTGTGTTGACACAGGTCACAAAACCCTAGGGCAGCTCACCCTATACACCCGCCACATCCTTCACCCCGAGATGGTACCACCCCTCCCATCATGGACTTAGGGCTAGAGTGCCTCCCAAAATACTCATGTGCTCAGAGATGGGGCTTTTGGAAGGTGAACGGATCATGGGAGTGCTGTACTCATCACTGGATTCATCCACTGACAAATCCATAGCTGAAGGTGCTATTAGGATGCAGGGCCTGGTCAGAGGCCGCTTCGCCAGAAGCAGGTCACTGAGGCCATGACCTGGGGGGGTGGGTCTCCCTCACAGCCCCTCCTCTCTCTGCTTCCTGACCCCTGTGACACGAGCAGCTTTCCTCCCACTAGACCCTTCCACAGCCATTTCTGCATTTGACTCTGACAACCACAGATGGAGACTTCTGAAACTGTGAGACAAAATAAAGTGCTCCTTTTAAGTTGTGGGTTTTGGGTATTTTGTTCCAGCGACAAGAAAGTGATATTGAGGCAAATCTTGCCTAGACCATAAATCGTCATCAACCCTTTTGTATCCAGCTGCCAAATGGGCATTGGCAGATCCATGTACGTCACCTGAAGGGGTCCCCCACTTCCTGCCAGACCAGGCCAGGGCCCTGCCCTCCAGTGAGCCAAGGAGGAGAACCACAGCCCACCTTGCACAGGAGCCTGCTTCTGTGGCTGTCTTGAAGAGGAATAACACTCAGCTCCCCGACAGAGCCACATACCCTGAGCACAGATGCCTTAGTACCCATGTCCAGAGCTTTGTGGTGTCCGAGCCTGTGTCCTCAAACAGCAAGTGCAGCAAAAGACTCCAAAGCTCTGAGGAGCATCCACAGGCAGCATGCTGTAGGAAGCTCACCACTGCACTCAACTGTGTAGCCTGTTCTTGGGCTTCCTGTGGCTTATAGAACTACCTGCTACCTGCGCTGCCTACTGCTTCTGTCTCTCAGCTGTGTGTGTGTCCCAACGCTTGCAGGGCAGCCTAATGCTGCTGCTCCAAAAGTAGGCGCTCAGCACCCACCCAGTCCAGGGCCACAACACACTCCTCTTCCAGTAGGTGCCTCTGATCATGCAGCATGGCATGTCCTCCAGCAAACAGGGTATCCACAAGGATCATACCCCATACTGCCTGTACCAACAGCACTGTGTCCTTCACATGCCTTGCCATGTGCATGAGGAGGAAAACTTTTTACATGCCTACTACAATTAAATTCTACCACTGAAAAAGTAAAGCCACAGGGTTTTTGTTTTTCTGTTGGTGTTTTGAGACAGTGTGTTGCTATGTAGTTCAGGTTTGCATTAAACTCATTCTGTAGCCTAAGCTGGCCTCGAACCACAGCAATCCTGCCACAGCCTCCAGAGTGCTGGGATTACAGGAGTATACCATCAATGCCTGGCCTAAGCCATGATTTAAAATACATATTTTCACATGCAATGTGCATGTTTCTAATTTCTGAATATTCTCTCAAACTTTCATTTTCTTTAATCCAAATGAATGAGGATCTATAGGTTTAAGTCCACAGGGCAGGAGCCAGTGACATCCCCACAGCACCTGCCTGCCTTCCACCTCTAACTGAGCAAGACGCAGGCCACCAGCTGTGGCTACAACTCCAGAGGACAGGAACCATGAGGGGGCCTTCCCAGTAGTATCAGACAGCTCTCCAACTCAGTCCTAAAAGCAGAGCTCCATCCTCTTTAATCTAGTCTATACAGCTGGACCAAATACGCCTGTCCTGCTAGAGAGATAGCACCTGTATGGCATCTGTAGCAGGGCCTGATTCTCCTAGCTACTCCACACAGTACACAGCAGCCTCTTTCGTTTCAGGAAGATAAAATCTCACAGGCAGAGGAATTGTGAAGATGCGATTTTTAAGCAAGATAGACAAGGCCTATGCACTATCACAGGTGCCCAGTATCTGCAGATGGGCAATGGCTTGCATCAACAAGAACTCTGCCAAAAACTCTCCTCACTCTAAATCCTGAAGCACCTGCTAAAACGACCATAACTGCTCTCAAAATGTGACAAAAGTGCTTAACATCAGGAAGCATCAGTAACAGGGGGACCAAGGCTCCATATACACAACACAAAAATCAGATCTACTTACTGTAACACCAAAACCAAATGACTGAGTCCAGGCTCAGGTCAGCCTCAAGGAGATAAGCCATGCAGAGTTCCACATGCCTGCATACCCCACTGTGCCCAGCACAGTCCAGGAAACTTCTGTGCCCTCTGCAGGGAGAGCAGAGGTTTTCACTGTGTTGGACATGTGTGAAGCACACACATACACACAGACATGTGCCAGCACACATGCACACATACCCAGACACACAGAGACATATGAGCACGGATGTCCACACTCACGTGCAAGGTATGCATGCAGGTGCCAGGGAGACCTGTCTGGAGCAGCCGCAAACCTCACCTGGTGTGCGCCCTGCAGCTTCCTGTCCAGCGCTGCCAGTTGCTTTGCATGAATGGTGCTCATTTCAGTTCTCAGACTGTCTTTTGCAGACTGAAGCTCTATGTTATGTTTCTGCTTTAGTTTCTCCAACTCCTGGGTCAAAATCACTTGGTGCGAAGAGTCCTTTAACCGCAGCTGTTCCTCAAGGTCTGCTCGCAAAAGCTCTAGAGCCCGCCTGTGCTCATTCCGAACAGTCTGCATTTCAGACAGGTAACAAGATTCCAGAGCGTCCAGGTTGGACAAATGTCTAGTTTCCAAAGCACTGATCTCAGCAGCATGTTTCATCTGCAGTTCAGCCACACGAGTCTCCAGAAGCACCTGGTGCTCGCTCTGCAGGGTGGCCATCAGCTCAGCAAGCTCAGCCTGGTGCTTGCTCTCGAGCTCTGTCCTCAAGGACAGAAGCCGCTGCTGGTGCCTCTGCTGCAGGAGTTGGAGCTCGCGTGCATGCTTCTCCTGGGCATCCTGCAGGAAAGCATCTTGCTCTGCGGCAAACTTCTCCACGATCTCCTTGCGCTCCTCCAAAAACCTGGGGCAAAACTCTTAAGTGAACCTAGGCAGCAGGGCATATGGGCACACTGCACAGGCTCCCTCTAAATACCCAGCCACTCTCCACACAGAAAGCTGCCTCAGCTGTTCAGAAGCTCAGCCTAGGCGTTAACTATCCTGAGGGGAAGCTCACGGACCACAGCTACCAGAGTCATCAGGGCTCAGGCTGCAGGGAGGACACAGCACCACAGGGAGACTGTGCCCACACCCCGAAAAGACATATGGCAACTGGCACTTGCAACAGCATTGGGCCCAGGTGCTAGACCATCTCTGCACCTCAGTGGGAAAAGCACTACCTTCAGGGAGACAGGGCCACACAGCAACCAACAGGCCTGAGGAGAATGGTAGTGAACTCCAAGGCAGGCAGGAGGAATCAGTTTTAATGAGAAGGGTACATCCTGTGGAGCCAAAAGAGCCTGGAACTGTGACACTGAGGAAGCATCAGCTCGCCATAGGCCCAGACAACACACCGGGCCTCCTGTGCTTCACAAAGACAGGAACAGGGCCTATCTTCACATGCCATCCCTGACCAGACACTAAATCCACAGGCCTGCTGTAGATCCGCCTTGAGTGACCCGTCCACGTCGTGGGAGCGCTAGGCCACACTTCGCCCAGATGGGCAGGTCTGGACCTCAACTCATTTCTGACCACACCCTTGTGATGCTGGAGAAAGGCTGGGTAGAGTGGAGGGAGGAGAAGGGGCAAAGCCAACAGCAAGGACGTCTCCATCACCACTGCCCCCACACTAAGGGCTACAGGACTAACACCAAGAAAGGCAAATAACCTGGTCACATTCCGAATCTATCTAAAACTTCAGGGAAGTGTGAGCTTTAGAAAAAAAATGTTCATTTTATGGCCAGGCATGGTGGCGCACACCTGTGATCCCAGCATTTGGGAGGCTGAGGCAGAAGGACAGCCATGAGTTTGTGGTGAGCCTGGGCTACACAGTGAGTTCAAGGCCAGTATGAACTACATAGTGAGACTGTCCCCCGACACCACCAAAAAAACCAAACAAGTTTATTTTAAAAACCATATATCTAAGTGAAAAACACCATGGATGAACTACATATGTGAAGTTTAAGGTTCTGCCATTAAAACTTAAAAACACACAAATAAAGGACAGAGGAATAAAAGATGCACATCCACCTATGTCCACCACAAGAGCTCGGATGCCATGGGAGGACATGGCTGTGCTGCAGCTGAAGTGACCATCATGGAGAGCACAGCTGGCTCCTTGCGCTTTTAGGGGGAAAGCTCAGCGCCTGCCTTACTCCTCCCAGACCCTGCCCACACAGCCCACTGCACCCCCCAAGGCCTGCCTCTAGGCCTTGGCGGGCATCTTCAGCAGGCGCCTCTGTATCACCCAAAGCCCACAGTCACCCACCTGTTCTGAGCCAGCATCAGCTGGAGGGCACAGCACTCGTCCGGGAGGGGCATGGTGTGCTCCCCATGCTGGGCTGCAGAGGGCTCCTGGCCACACCGGCTGCACAATGCAGCATCGTCCCCAGCAAGCCCTTGCTCCAGCTGCCGCAAGTGGCCCTGCTGCTCTGTCAGGGACCTCTCCAGGTCCAGGATCTGGGCTGCCTGCTGGTCCTGAAGCTTCTTCATTTCAGCTTCCCGAAGCTCAAACCTGCTTACTATGGACCGCTTCTCCAGGTCAGCCTTTTCTCGAAGCTCAAGGAGCATGGAGGTCACCTTCTCTTCAGCTTCTCTCTTCAGAGCTTCACGTGAAATCTGCCACTCTGCTTCTTTTTTTTTGAACTCCTGTTTCAGTAGTTGAATCTTCTCCTCAGTTTTGTTTAGTTCTTCCTGGTGGTCTTCCACTAAACTAAATTTTACCTACAGATAGCAGTTTTATTCAAGAGGAAAGGAAACAAAGGGAAAGATTATCGGAAGCAATTACCCACGTCTACCTCCAAAGATGGGCAAACTTCCCCCAACACAGGCACTGCACTGAACACAGCAATGGTAATTCTTCTTATGCTGATAGGAATGAAAAGAACCCAAAATGAACCAACGTAAAGCCAGGCATGGTGGCACAGCCCTGTAGTCACAGCACTCGGGAGGCTGAGGCAGGAGGATCACCATGAGTTCATGGCCAGCTTGGACTACAGAGTGAGTTCAAAGCTAGCCTAGGGGCTGGGGATTTAGCTCAGCGGCAAAGCGTCTGCCTGGCAAGCACAAGGTCGTGAGTTCGGTTCCCGGTACCGGAGAAAAACCAAAACCAAAAAACAAAACAAAACAAAGCTAGCCTAAACTACATAGCAAGACCCTGTCTCAAAAATAAAACAACACAAAACAAACTTAAAACTATCTGTTCACTGGGTGTGGCGGTGCAAGCCTGTAATCCGAGCACTCTGGAGGCTGAGGCAGGAGGACTGCTGTGAGTTCAAGGCCAGCCTAAACTACATAGCAAGACCTTGCCTCAAAAAAGGGAAGAAAAAAAAAGACAGAGAGACAGAGAGACAGAGAGAAAAAGAAATGAAAAAAAGAAAAACGTTTGAAAATAAATAAAACTATCTGCTTACCTCCAAAAAAACTAACATCTGGAAATACACACATACCAGTGGAGCAAAACCAGGCCCAGACATGATCAAGAGGATCACAGGGTTTTCCATAGAGCAGAGGCCACCTCCAACAGCAGCAGGAATAAAGGTCCAAAGAGATGAGATCAGCACAGGGCTACTGAGTCCCAGTCTCCTAACCTATGATGAACTAAACTAAATTCCAAAGATATCCTGTGAACAGGAAGATGAGTAAGAAAGCTGAGGATAGGCAAATATCCAGGGTTTTCCAAAACAAAAAGGTAAGTCAATAAACTACCCAACAACGTCAGTACAAAACAAACCCAAACCGTAAAAGGTATGTAGGACTGGTCCCAACTCATTTATACACAGACCACAGTTAGTTCGACACTGGGCCATAGCTGAGCAGCTCAGACCAGTCCGCTCAGAACTGGCAACTGTGAACCCTGAGTGAGACATGCCAACTTCTGAAGCCTGAAGACAGCTGACCAAAGGCCAGCCTGGAGAGGGGCTGAGGCTGGGGAGGAGCAGTGCAGCCACATCATCTCTCCCTTCCACAGCTTAGCTGACAGCAGAAGCTGACTGTGTGCTCCACCCCAGAACCAGATCCAAAACGTGAGAAAGGAAAACCCTCAAGACAGAGCCAGCCTCTGCCCAGACCTTAGGCACACCTCTACCCACACGCACTCAGGGCAGACTCCAAAAGCAAGCCTTGGGAGCAGCACTGTGCTCGGCCCAGCACAGAAGAGAGGGTGTGAATTAAACAAGTGCTGAATAAAACCAATTCTTGTTAGAAAAAAAATAGAACCCAGTGTCTCCACAACACACCATTCACAATGTCCAGGATACAACCCAAAACCAGCAGATATACAAATAAAGAGGAAAACCTGACTGACAGTAAAGGAGAAATAAAATCAACGGAGACCAACCCCAAGATAACACAGAGCTATCAACAGTAAAGGGCTTTAAAAAATTCTTTAAATTCTGACCGAAAAAGGTATGTCCAAATGTTTTTATGTAGCCGGGAATGGGCATGGTGGCGCACGCCTGTAATCCCAGCACTTAGGAGGCCGAGGCAAGAGGATTGTTGCGAGTTTGAGACCAGCCTGAGCTACAAAGTGAGCTCAAGGCCACCCTGAACTGTACAGCGAGACCCTGCCTCAAAAAGCTCCCCCCAAAAAACAAATATTTTTATGTAGCAAAACTATTCTTCAAGAAAGTGAAACAAAGACCTTTTCAAATAAAAGCAAGCTCGTACAGCAGAACTGCTCAACAAGAAATGCCAAGGAACACTCTACAGGCTGAAGGGAAACACTACCACACACACTCAGATTTCAAGGAGGAAATAAGGGGAGGCAAGCCCCAGGCTGCTGAATACTCTTAATTCTTCTCAAATGCATGACTTTTCAGAGCTTATCTTATCATGCTAAATTGTGGAGTTTACAATATAAGGCGAATAGGTGAGAAAGACGCAACACGGAAAGGGAGGGGTGGTAAGTATATCCCCAAAGACGAGACTCAAGTGTATCTAAAGTGCTAAGTTCACCTGAGACTGAAATATCCATGTTCTTATCCCTATAGCAGAAGTACAGCTTAAGTCAATGCGTATATTAAAATCAGTTCAGGGAAATTTTTGAATATTCCAAGATGTGAAACAAGGAACAAAACCAACAACAAAAAAGAAAAAGAGAGGACACACAAAAACTAACAGTGCTGTGCACGAAGCTGCATGCCTGCAATCCCCACACCGGAGAAGCTACAGGAGTACCACAGGTTCAAGGCCAGCCTGAGCTACACTTCAAGATCCTCTGCTGAAATACAAACAAAATTAATGGTAAAGTAGTAGACCTAAGTCCAGATACATCATGTATACAGACTCAGCATTACAATTAAAATACAGATATTATCAAAATGGATTAAACAATACCTAAATATTCACTATCCACACAAAATTTACTTTACTTTTAATAGAGCAAAGGTAAAATGGATAACAACAAAATACACCTGCAGGCGGCACAACTATATTAACAAAAGAGAAAGATTTCAAGACAAAGAATATTACAGGAAAGGGATACTGAAAAATTTCACGAAGACATTACAATCATTAACATATGCACGGGGGCCAGGAATATAGCTCAGAGGAACAAGCGCCTGCCTGGCTAGTGCAAGGCGCTGAGGTCGACTCCTGGTACAAAAAAAAAAAAAAAAAAAAATTACAAAAAATAAATAAACATATGTGTGCGTAATAGCTTCAAAATACTTAAAGCACAAATTTTACTTGAGAAATAGATGAGTCCATACCCCTTCCCTGATAACTGATTTATCCGATAAAATGGTGACCTTAGGCATATGAGAAATACACATATGCATAAATAATAAAGTCACCTAGGAAAGTCTGTCTTTGGTCAGCAATGCCTGAAAATGTCATGTACTACTGACTGTCGACTGCCTGTGGTCCACACAGCTTTCTACACAACTCTGTCCTTAGCTCTACTTGCTCCAAGATTTTACCAATGCCTTAGTTGAAAAAGTAACAGTGTGATCAAATGAAGTAATAAAAGCTTTCTACGAACCCTGTCCTGATAGAGAAAGCAAGGGGTAAGAGCAAAGGTCAAGAGGCACACTTGGTCTCAAGCATGCAATGGGGAACAGAGTTCAGTCAATACACACACAAAAGACATAAAAACACCAATTTGTGTGGATTCTGTATTCTACCACACGAATAGCCTGTCACCTGCACTGGCTATAGAACACAGCCCCTTCTATCCGCATTTCTAATAGCATGGCAGTTACCTGATCACACTCACAAAACAGCTAGAAAGAGGCTCAGTGTGTGGACTTCCCACAGTTGCAAAATAATCACCAAGAAGTGCCTGGAGAAAGTGGACCTCATTTAAGACACCAGCCTGAGTGTCAGAGACAGCTGGGCCTCTCCCTGGAGCCCTGGGGATGCCTGGACATCTCCAAGAGGTAGTCAGAACTCCCAGGGGGCAAGGTGGGTGATACAACCCACCACTGGCATTTTACTTCAAGAGCCAGTTTCAAGGATCTGGGGACAGACATCTTCACAGGTGTGACACACATGGCCTAGGACAGACCCACCAGCCTTTGCTGTGTGTACGAGGAGCCTCCCAGGGGACAGGGCAGACCTCATCAAGAGGTGGGCTACTCACACTCTCCAGGTCCCCTCTCAGCCGGGACTCATGTTGCAACTTTTCACGTAAGTGTCTGTTTTCTATTTTTAAGAGTTCAATTTCTTCTTTGAGTTCAGTCTGAAGGAGTGAAAGTTTAACCTTGTGCTCAGCTTCCAAACCCAGGACTCTGGCTGTCACCTGTGCTTCCACCTCCACAGCCTTGTCCTGCGTACACTGGGGTTGCACCCATGCTATCTCTGCAGAGACAAGGAAGCAGGGAGAGCAGTCACACATAGCGGCCTAGCCCCAGGGACTGCCAAGGTAACACCGGCCTCGCAGTGATGCAGCCAAGGACAGCTCAGGTGTGAAAACCCAGGTGCTGACTCAGGACACAAGTGGGCATGGGTCTCATGTCCTCACTGAGGGCTCAGCCCTGGCCCAAGAACCAGCACGTCCCTCATCTGCACAACAGCCACCCAGCACAACCACGCTGGCCCTTCAGATCAAGCATGACGTGTCCCCTGCCACAGGTCAACCTGGTGAAGCTCGCACATTTATCAGATGTGCTTGTCACTAGAGACATCACCAAAAGGACTGGCCTGAGGTCCCAAGGCTAGACCTGTTGAGAGGCCAGACGTGCTGGGGACTGGGTATGTGGGCTGGGCTTGCTGTCTCCCCTCTGTAGAGCAGGAAACAAAGGCACAAGCCCTGAGGCTGGAGTGAGGATGAGTCCAGTCACAGGAACAGCATGCAGGTCGGCAGGGCCAACAACTAAACACTGAGGGTCAGCAGAGCAATAGTTCTGGCGCAGGAAGGACATGACCAAAAAGGGGCATGTGCATGTTTGTCCTGGCTCTCAGAGGGTTGTGCTCCCCTCCCCTGGCAGTCCTGCCTGGACCTTGATGTGCAATCTGATCCAACCATTACTAATGGTAGAGACCTTAACCCTGGCCTTCTCACCTCCACCGCAGGATGCCCAGAGCCTGGCTCCAGGCAGTGTGGAGAGGCACCATCACCACCCTCCTGTCAGGGTCTTCTGTGCAGCCGCTGTGGGACCAGTTGAACCTGGTGGGCTGGGTCTGCTGAAGCTAAGCAGGGTCCCAAGCATGTCCACCTCCCGAAGGTGTGTGGTCCCCAGTGCCTGACAATGACTGTGCCCCAGGGTGTTGTCCCATCAGACCAGCTCCTAGCCAGAGACAAGAAAGCCAGGAGCATGCAGTCCTGCCAGGCCAACCCCAACCAACTCCAACCTGCATGTCAGCACTTACTCATGTCCTTGTGTGAGGGCACCATACTCTACAGCCCAAGTTTGCAGCACGGGGCAAGGACAAGGAACAGCTGTAGGAGATGGGCCACATACCTTGGCTGTGCTGGTCTGAGACTGCAGCTCGGAGCTCCCCCAAGTCCACCACCTTCAGCCTCATGTGGTCTCTGTCTGATTCATCCTCCTCATGCTGGACACAGAAGGAGGAACACAATTCTGACCCCGGCCTATGGTTTTCCTCCAGGCCTGCCTGTAAGCACACCACACTCGCCTAGGGAAGAACCATACAGCACACATGTTAAAAAGTCTAGCCCCTTGTTCATGGCTACTGCCCTGGCCGTGCTGCATTCAAAGAGAATGTGGAAGCCTCTTCCAATTCAATGGGCCACACTGTCGAACCCAAAGGCAGACAGCCATAGTCACCATGCATGCAGGGAGCACCACCTCTAACTCCACAGACACCCAGGCAGACAGAAAGCAGACAGACACACAGGAGCAGAAGGCTCTGAACGCTGACAGTAGTCTTGGAAGAGGTGAGCAAAAGCATCCACCCTTGACCCTGGAATAAAAGGATATCAAGAACACAATAAAGCAAAGCTGGAAATTAAAAATGGTAACATTAAGTGAAGTGTTTATCTGAAAAACTAGGAGAGGGTGGGAAAAAATGTCTCACTCAGAAAACAGAACCAAAAGAGCTATGAGAGAGAAAAATGTAGGATCAGGCTTCATCCAGCAGGTCAAGCATGAACCTCACAGAAGCTCTAGAAAAACAACAATCTGGAGGGAAATGACTGAGGTCTAAGCAACAGAAAAGAAACAAAAGGAAAGCCTGAGACTCCAAGGCCCCATCTTGCTCCCAGCATGAGAAACTAGCATAAACATATAGACTAAGAGGTCCCAGACCCCAGGGAATCCAAGAGGGGACCTAGATCCATACAGGCAGTGTTTGGAGGGAGGTCAGGAGGACCACGACAGACAGGAAAGCAAGCTTGAATGTGCAAGATTAGGCTGTGGACCAGCTATGCGCAAACACTCCACCTAAGGAACATCACAGCAACATAGGAAGAAGACAGACAGACACACTGCGCCCACGCAGCAAGGAGACCAGAGGGAAGGGAATCTGGGAATGGGAGTGCTGGGAGACCTCAGGAACCTCAAAGGTCAGAGCGCCAGTGAAGGATAGCATCCAGGGAAACCAGAGACATGCAGTACAGGAGGCAGCACTGGGCTGGGTGCAGGCTCCAGTGGTGACCTTGCGTCACGCCCTGGTTGTACCCGAAAAGGCAGCTGCAGGGGCAGAAACCTGCAAAGAAAGAGGTGGAATGAAAGTAGAGCTCCACATTCCACCAGAGCAAGCACAGGGCCACTGTCCAGAGTACAGACAAGACCCTAAAGGATGGAGACCACCTGAGATGGGCTGAGCTGTGTCCTCCTCCCAAATCCACACTGCAGCCCTAATCTCAGAACCCTACAATGAGACTGGACTCAGAGGTGGGGTCTTTACAACAAGGTCATGAGGGTGGTCCCTAAACCCACAGGACCGGTATCTTTACAAGAAGAGGAGAACACACAGAGGACGGTCACATGTTGACACAGCAGGGACAGGCCTCAGGAGGGACCAGCCATGAGACACTGTGGACTTCCACCTTCAGCCTCTAGAAGAGGACACAGTAAGTGGCTGTGATCTAAGCTCCGAGGCTGTGCAGTCGGGCCCAGCAGCTCAAACCAACCAATAGTACCTCAATGACCAAGAGCAGGAGCTGTTCAGAACAAAGTCAGTGCCCATGGAAGTAGAACACATCCACACACGGGCCCGGGGCCTGGCTAAGGGCTGCGCTGCCCAGTAGGGGGGCCCCAGGAGCTGCTGCCACTTCCCCAAATGACCATCAAAAAACCTTGGTCACACCAGTCCACAGCAAGTGCTTAACAGACACGTGTCCTGGTGGTCGCTGCACTGTCTACACACAATCCATCATCCCAGGACGTTGTTTGGACAGTGCTATTCCACACAAGTTAAAAAATGACAGAAGTCAATGGCATGGAGGCCAATTCAAGAATGAAATATGAAAGTCAGTGTAAAGAAACTCACACATAACTCAAGGCAGGACACAGCTCACACCCTGAAGACTACCAGAGTCAAGTCTGATGTAAGTACATGGTACCGCAGGGTGTGGGCAGAGGGAGGACTTGCTGACTACCATGGCAACAAGGTCAGTGGACAAGGAGGATGTAGCACCCTTCTCCAGACCGCTCTGGACCCACAGTCAGGCCAGGATGGCTGTGAAATCCACAGAGGGATTTTTGAGTTGGAAAAGCAAGACTACATGACAGGTCAGTGGGAAGATGGACATGTGGGTCATACAATGTGACAAATAGCCCATTTCTAAATTAACTGTTTCTCAGAGATCAAAAAAATCAGACAATCACCTCCTCTTGCTCAAGTTGAAGGTCAGGTCGATCAGGGTGTTCTTTTACTTCCCTGTCAGATGTGTCTTCTAAAAACGCACAGGATGAACTAAAGGAGAAAATAAGTTTAAAAGCTTTACATGTGCCCTTTCCCCCATTCCCACTCTGCCACAGACCTGCCACAGACCTACCACAAAGAGCACAGGCCTGGGCAAGAAGTCACCTGCCAAAAACAGGATGACCGCAGGTCTGCACCCTGCTCAGCCACATCATGGCACAGAGAAGCGAGACACACAGTAGGGTGCCTGCTGGTCATCACAGGGGCCACACACCAGCAACTCAGCTGGAGCACACCAGATCCTGGTGTCAGTGTCATCTTGTTTCCGTAGAGCATCTTGTAACATCAAAGTCTACTAGCTTTCACTGGCTCAAGATCATAAAATGAGATGTGCTCCCAGCACAAAGTGCCCAAATTTCAGAAACCCACTCAAGACAACAGCTATTTCCTTTACCTGATTTCCACAGACCCCAGGAGAGGATCTTCCCTGGCCTCCTGCAGCCGCTGCTGGAACAGGCTCAGGTCCTCTTGATAAGTCTTCTCAGCATCCCTCAACTTATTCTCAAAATACAGCCTCAACTGCTCCAGTACAGACTCATGCTGGGCTCTGTCACGCTGCTGTTGCTGTGCAAACTCCTGCCGAAGGTGTTCCAGCTCCTCCAGGTGCAGCACTCCAGCCGGGGGAGGCTGCTGCAGCTCTTCAACACGATGAAGCACTCAATCATTCACAGTGAAACATTTTCAAGACCAGGAGCTGAGGAGGCCTGTATAGATCCTGAGACTGGCCCCAGTCCTAGAACCTGCCTGTTCCCCTCCTATGGCCTGCTTGGCAGTGAATGGGCCCCTAGCCAGAGCTTTCAGGGCACCTAGGAGAGCGCCTTACTGCAGCACAAGTGCAGGTCCAGCTGAGGTTAGCAAGGAAGCAAGTGGGCACTGATCATACAGCAGCCACAAACTAGATCCTGTCATAATCCCAAGGCTGGAAGTGGATTCAGGGCAATATACAGCTGCCTACACCAGGATTTCAGCTATGGGGGAGAACCTGGACACACGCCTCAAATTTATGAGCTCATAACTGTGTTTTTAGGCCAAGACTGTGACACTTTGCCAAGCAGCAAAAGAAAAGTGACACAGACTACACAAGCCCTTGTGGTCCAGAAAGTGCTGCCAGCTGCCCCACTATGATTAACAGCTAAGGACATGGAAGGAGAACATCTGCCCCAGTGGTTCCAGATCAGAGCTTCCTGTCTGGGTCCTCAGGTGAGGATAAAGACCCAGGGTGCAACAGGCCAGAGCAGCAGTAGTAGCAATGCCTCTGGCCCATCAGTTCCTCTCTCCTATAGCCTCCAGTCAAGAGAGGCAGACTCGTGACCAGCACACCTGCCTACCACATCTGGACATGGACAGAGATCAGGGCTGAGAGAAGGTCAAACCGGGGCTGGATATATGACTCAGTGGCACAGCACTTGCCATGCATCACAAAGGCTTGGGTTTCATCCCTAACACCACAAAAACAAAACAAAACAAAACAAAAAAACACACACAGCCTTAGCTTTAGATGATATGAATTCCTCACACATAATCCTTACCATGTAGTTCCTCTCTTTTGGTTCTCGTAGACTCAAGTTGGGACCACAGATTCCTGATTTCTTCTTGTGACTGAGCCTTTAGGTCTTCATAGGATGCTTGAAGATTCTCTAACTACGGAAAAGGAGGGCATCACATGGAGACCCCGAAGCTCACCCCCAAGCCAGTGCTGCATGTTCTGTGCAGTTATCTACGTTACCTGTCAACACCTCAGGGTCAGCATCTGACAGGTACGAGTCAGACTGCCCGGAGTCAAAGCACACATCCCAAACGAGCAGCTCAGAAATCAGAACAGTAACAACCAGAACAAAGCAATGATCACAGCTAACCCAACAAAGGCCAAGGTGGGAGTTACTGCCACTTTAAAGGAGTTACCAAGGCATGGTGACATGCACCTGTGGTCCCAGCTTCCCAGGAGGCTGAGGAGGGAGAACTTTTTGACTCTAGAAGTTTGAAGCCAGCCTGAGCAATACAGCAAGACCCACCTCAAAAAACACCAGCCAGGTGTGGTGGCGCATGCCTGTAATCCCACACTCGGAAGGCAGAGGCAGAAGGACTGCCTTGAGTTCCAGGCCAGGGTAGGCTACCGGCTGAGCTCAAGGCATACCATAGTGAGACTCTGTCTCAAAAAACCGAACTGCAGCCAGGCGTAGTAGCACACGCCTGTAATCCCAGCACTCAGAAGGCTGAGGCAGGAGGATTACTGCAAATTCAAGGCCAGCCTTGACTACAAAGTGAGTTCAAGGCCAGCCTGAACTGCGTAGCAAGACCCCATCTCAAAAAAACAAAAAGAAAGCAACAAAACACAACAGTAACTTCTGGGCTTGCCAGTTTATAGTAAATGTCAGCAGGGGCCATGCTTCGGGAGCCTGCTCCCTCTCACACGGTCACCGCAGCACTGGTCCCACACACGCCCCCACCTGTGAAAGGCCACACTCACAAGGCACTGCCAGGTTCACTAATGCAGGGCAGTGCCAGGATTAGCCTGCAGCAGCCATCACTTGCAAAAGGAGGCTCATGTTTTCCACATTCTTCTGTTAAAGAAGCAGAGTGCCTCTGACATCTTGACAGGAAGCACCCTGAGAGCCCACAGACCCACACAGCACAGGCTGGAGGGCTGGCCCACTTAGGGATGCCACCAGGAGGACTTGGCCAAGGAGGACTCCTGGGGTGGACTGTCAGTGCCTCCATGTCAGCATCACCCAGGCCTAGGCCCTCGAGGATCTTCCTCCCAGCAGCAGCCAGAGTGACCATGTCTACCGGTGTCACCAACATGAGAAATCGTCAACACACAATGAAAGAAGTAAAACGTTGTCATTTTAGAAAGTGTTATCTGATTGTATAAGGCCAGTCTTTTACTTTTCCCTTCAGGAACTTCGGTTCTTTCTTTCACAGATCCCTGCACAGATCCATTTCTGTCACTGAGCAAGGATGTGTCCTTCTGAAAGTCAATGGGCAAGGCTCCAATGCAGGGTCATGGGCCAGGCCAGGAGGGCCAGGTTGAAGGGCAAACCTCTCAGTCCATCTCCTGAGTTGTCCTGCAGGGGCGCGGCGGCCTCTCTGGGCTCCAACCTGCAGCGAGGGTGGCACTGGCCCTGAGGCTGGGGCACGCTTCTGGTGGGCATCAGGCCAGATGGTACTCACCAGCCCTACCCCTCCCATCACTGAGAGAGCCTGGCAAGGTCCAGGAAGAGACAAGAGGAAAGGAGTACGCCCCCACCTGGGACTGACACTGCATCTTCTCAAGTCTATAAATCTCTGTGCATACCACTACTAGCTTCAGTTTCTGTTGTATTTTTTTTAATGTCTTAAAAGGACTGCTTGATTCTTAAGATTTAATGATAAAAGCACTTCAGAGCTCTGAATAGGATCTAGCCACATCTACATCTGGCATATATTATTTCACTAGAAAAGGGTATTAAAACAGCAGAAATTGTTTGCTTAACTTTTCAAAGAAACTTTGTTTATTGGGTTACAGTCAAAAGAACATGGCCCTACATTTATAGTGTTTGGAATTTTTGTAAACACTCTCAGGAATACTTGTAAAGAATATCTACTTTCTGAGTATAAGAGAGCATAACCACTACATGATTCTCACTGACTCTGTTCCTTCACAGGCTTTTTTACCAAACATTAGAAGATCAAAGTTAGTACTTCAGTTTAGTAAGCAACAGAATATGAAGTGGTCCACTTCCAAAACCCCTTAAAACTTCTCTAACACATCAGATATTTACAAAATAAGTAAGTTCAGTTTGGTATAGTGGCACACACCTATAATCCCAGCACTCTTGAGAGGCTGAGACAGGAGGATCACAAGTTCAAGCCCAGCTGAACACACAGCCCAGACTCTGCCTCAAAATAAAAATTAAAAAAAAAAAGAGGTGAGGATGTAGCTCAGTGTGAAGTCCCTGGCTCAATCCCCAACACTGAAATAAACAAATGAGCTTGTGCTTACCTCCAGCTGCTTTTCTTTTTCCTTTTCTCTGAACTTCAACTCCAGGTTTTCTAAATACTGACAGTGCTCCAACTGCAATTCCTCACGTACCTTCCTGACTGCTGCCTGGTGCTGCGCCTCTAGGCTCTTCAGAGACGCTGGAAAGCAACAAAACTTCACCTAGTTTACAACACATGACGCTTCCTCCCCAGCAGCAAACCTGGATGGCACATCACCAGGTGATGGCCGTAGCTTACACGAGGGGCACTGCTTGCCCCGCTCCATGCTAGGTGCCCTCATATGTTGATGGCACATCACTCCAAAGGCTCGGCCAGCAGAGCAAAGCTGAGCCACAGCCAGTGGGCTCTGTCCAGATCTTACCTCCGCACAGCCCTACTCTCCCCCAGAGAAGAGGCATAAACATCACAGAAATGTGCAGACAGCATCATCTAACCACAAGGGTCACCGCAGGGCACGTGGCATTAAATAATCAGAAGCAAGCAATCCCATGCCACTGTTTCAAGAGTAATCAGTAACTAAACATGTAAAAGACATCTTTGAAACAAAGGTCGGGGCTAGGGATATAGCTCAGCGGCGTAAGTGCCTGCCTGGCAAGCTTGAGGTCATGAGTTCAACTCTCAGTACAAAAAAAAAAAAAAAGAAACAAAGGTCAGGAAGGTTCAGGATTCTGAGAGGTCTGCAGCCAACAAAGAGCCCCAAGCCTGTCTCCCATAGCTCTTCCGGCACCCACTTACCTGGGTTGAAAAGCACAGTGGGAGCTGCAAGGTCTTTGTTCTGGAATGACACAGAAATACACAGTCCCTTCCACACCCACTCTAGTCAGGTTAGATGCTCACCTTCAGCCTGAGTTTTGCCTTGAAAAACCTTCTCCAGTTCAGCTCTCTGTTCTACCAATTCTTTCTGAAACTGGTTTTGCAAATCCTCCATTTCTGACTGGTGCCTTGCAGATAATTCTTTACGGAGATTTTCCAAGCACAACTCTCTTTCAGATTCCCAGTCTTGCTTTAGGGTCTAATTTAAGAGAACAAAAGCACAGCCAACAGTTGGTTATCTGTTATAAGGAAATTTTAATCTCACTGTCAAGACCAAGAGTGGGTAGTCATGCAGCACCTGGACTGAACTGTCACCATGGGAAAAGGGCTCTGTATGGCCAGTCAGTCCCTCCACCAGCTGCTAAAAATAAAGCACAGAAGCATCCATAAAGCAAACAGTCAAAGAGAGAAGGAGGCCACCTGGTCCTCTAATCAGTCTCTGAACTGAAAGTACATCCCACAGCCACTTTAAAGACTCACAAACTCTCCAAGATCCATAGGCTGGGCTCTGTCCCATGCATCCTGAGAAACAAGTCTCCACTCTCCAGGTCAGAGAGGCAGGATGCTGAAACATGAACTCTAGCCTCAGAATGACCTCTACATTTGCCCGATACCTGAACGTAGCCAGGATACCTGACTCAGGAAGAGCCTCTACTTTTGAGGGTGGGGCCATCCACTCCACCAATCACTCCAGATGTCCAGGGACACAAACCCCTGACACCCAGGCCACGTCCACCTCCCCCTACTAAACATAGCTCATAAGGACAGGCAGCATCCAGAGCACAGCACCTTTACATTCTAAAGACCAATAGGAACAAGTCCGCTGGCAAACACAGCCTTGCCAAGGAGAGAAATTCACTTTCTACTAACACATTCTATTAACTTTCACCAGTATTTGCTTGTGACACAGTGAGGGACAGGTAAGCAGGGCATGGCGACAAAGGAAAACAATGTACCCACAGAGCTGCAGTTCTAATTGATTGTACATACCTCTATCATCTGGGCATTTTTTTCCAATTCTGATTGTAATTTCTCCTTCAACTCAGCTGCAAAACAAATATAACAAGCCCTCAGACCACTGAGCCTTCTCCGTGTTTCCATCACCCTGGAGACAAGGTACCTCTGGCATCTGTTGGCTTCTTGCCAGTGCTAATAGGGCAGTAAGATGTCTGGTTTAAGTAACAAACTATATTCTGGCAAAACAAAGGACACCGAGATTCCCAGCCACACAAGACCTCCGAGGAAAGCAGAAGATGGTCAGCTCCTGGGGTCCCCACCACGGAAACCTTGAAACCTACAAAAACTTCTGGCATATGAACCACAGGTTCTTCAGCACAGGTGCCAATAGTGTCCACACTCAGGCAAGGTGCTTGGATTTGAGATGCAAGAGGCCATCTTATGCCCCACAGCTCCTGCCAGAGAGGGAAAGAGCACAAGAAGGAGGTACCAGCAAAACTTCACCATCAAGAGCCTCCATAGGCATATCAGGGCCAGGGACAAGGCCAGGGGCAGGGCTGGAGAAGTGGGTTCTGGGGCAGGGGAAGACTCCACATGTGAACACAAGAGGAGGGCATCCACCTAGAGACCTTGGTGAGGAGACCTCCAGAAGCAGGACGAACACAGCTGAGGAGTTGCCATAGATAAAATGTTGCCATGAAAGAGGCCAAAGGGCCAGGAACCCAGCTTCTGAAGGCCACATGCCATCGAAAGGTCACTAACAGCCCAGTCTCAGCCATGGCAGAAACAGGAGCCAAAGGGGAGGCAGACTGGGTTGATGAAGGGGGAAAAAGGGCAAAAGATAAATCATATTTTATACTAAAAGACAAAAAAGGAAAATAAAAATACACCTTTGTGATGGCTTGAAACTGCATGAGGCAACGCAGGAGGACATCATAAGGAGCTGGGAAAACTGGCTCAGCAGGGTGCAGGGAGAGCTGCCAGGAGCAGGGAGCTTTCTAACAGAGCAAGCTAGAGTGCTACGGGCACAAGCGGCACGAAGGAGGAGGCACTCACGGGCACACAGGCTCTCCCTGGTCAGGGCACAGCAAACCCTGACTGTGGACATGTCTATATAACGTGGCAAATTTGCCCAAGCCACCAAACTATACCCTTCAAGGGCAGACTGTATGCAATGTGAATTATTTCTCCACAGAACTGTTACTTTTTAAAAGATGCACGTAAAAGTCGTAACTAACAGCTGGGTGTGGTGGTGCATCCCTGTAATCCCAGCACGCAGGAGGCTGAGGCAGGAGGATTGTTCTGAGTTTGAGGGCAGCCTGGGCTACAGCGTGAATTCAAGGCCAGCCTGAACTACATGGCGAGACCCCGTCTCAAAAAGACCCAAAAAAAAAGTAGTAATTAGCAAAAACAATGCATGAAGAAAACTATTAAAAACAAAACATAAAAGCACATACTAAGTACAAACAAAGTCAATTTAGGCCAAGAATTACCAAACTTAAAAGGCACTCATATTGGCAGCAGGTGGCGCCACAACTAGCAAGGGCACAACTCACCAAAGGCCAGGTCTGTGGTCCAGGACCACCTGGGTCTAGTCTGGTAAGGCCTACCAACAGGTAGATTCTATCAAGATGCTGGCAGAGAAACTCCACTCAATCTTCCAAATCAGCACAAATCCACCAGAGACTGAAATGGGGGGAGGCGTGGCAGAGCCACAGTCTGGGGAGACCGGGTGCTACCAACCTGGACCCAGTCACAGCCTGAGGACCCAGCTGTGCCTCCTCGTTTGCACAAAGAGGCCTGGGTCCCAGTACATGTCAGAAACCTGCACATAGGAGGGCTGGGGCTAGCATCATAGATTCCCAAGGTGCAGGAGCAGACCATGTACTAAACAAACGGGGGGAAGTGATTTAGAAAACATGCAGACCAGCTTCTCAGAGAAGTCCCTGTGAGGTCCAGACGCAGCCAAAATGCATACTGGCTCAGTCACACCCTCACATGTGATACCATCTCCTGCCCAGATCCCATGTTATACCCATCTCCTGCCCATAGCGGAACGCCATGGCTTCCTTCTCGCGAGCATGCTGCTCCCGGACCAGCTCCAGCTCACACTGCTGCCTATTCTGCAGAAGGGCCAGCTCCTGCGCACGCCGGCCGTTGAGCATCTCCCGCAGCTCAGTCAGTGCTGTCTCCTTCTCCTTCTGCAGGTTGGCTTGTGTCAGCTCCAGCTGTGCAGTGTGCATGTTGCTCAGGCTGAGGCGCAGGGCTTCCAACTCAAGGCTGTGAGCCGCCTGCAGGCAGAGAGGCACTGCTGACACCAGAACAGTGAGGTGACACCGAGACACATAAACCAGAAACAGAGAGAGCATGTGACCTGGGAGGACACCTCCTGCCATCTATGCTAGCATCTCCCCATGCTGTGCCTCCCACCAGCAGGCACCCCTATGGCCTGGCAGGCACCACACTCCCATCCCCAGGCATCCACCTGTCCATCTACCTGTCCCAGGAAGGCTCCTACACACTAAACACAGAAACAAAGACAGGAAGCTGTGGCACCCCCACCCACTGTGGAGCCCTCGCAGCAACCAAGACCCACTGCGCCTGGGTAAGAACGGCAAAGCGCATGCCATGAGTGGGTGAAGGCTAAGGCAGGGCCATTCAGTCACCTGAGGCTGCTGCTGGCCAGCCTTGTCCTTGGGTGTACCCACCAGCTCACAGTCTTGATCTTGCTCCTGGAGAAGGAAAGCAACATGGTCTAGGGAGTTTATAGCAGCAAACAATCACTTGGAGATAACTGGGATACACCAGAGAATGGAAAAACTACGTCCTCACATCATCTGCACAGAAGTCCACAGCAGTATTATCAACAAGTGCTAAAAGAGGGAAACAGCTCCAATGATGCATGAATGCACAAACAAAATGTGGCACACAGTCACCCCCTGGCATTTTCAAGGGACAGATTCTAGGACTCCCAAGGATTTGCCCTGGTTGCTCAAATTCCTTATAGGACAGCATATTATTTGTAGATAACCTATGCACAGACATCCATAGACTTTAAATCATCTCCAGGTTGTGTAATGCCAACACAGCAGAAAGGCTGTATAAGCAATTGTTGCTCTATGTTGTCTAAGGCACTGATGGTGAACCTTTCAGAGCTTTCAACGAAAACAAATAGCACACATGCCATAGGTTTACCACTAGTCTAGGCGTTGATAAAAAAAGGTCTGTCCATGTTCAGACTCAAGGGCTCAAACTAAGTTTAACTTCCTGCCCAAACTAGGGAACTCGTACTGAGAATGGAAGGCTTGATATGGTCACAGAGGCTCAAAAGACACTCTGAGGCACCCAACAAAGAGGCTCACATGCAGTCATACTGTGCAGGAAATTATTCTGAGGGCAAGTCACCCAAGGAGCTTTAGAGGGTGTGACAAGATCCCCTCCATCATTGTGCTCCTCAGTATTCTCTGCCTCAGTAAACAGCACTCCCAAGCCATTTCAGGCCCCATCCCGTCTAGTCCCACGAGCACAGCTGATTGGTTCCCCAATGGTTCATGACCTTGATGCACACAGTGCTGTGGCTTCCCACAGCAAATCCCTTCAGGCTGTGGGTCTGACAACCCACCTGGCTGCCTCCTCAGTCTCGCTCCTCGAGGGGCCCTTCCACACCCAGCCTAGCAGAGACTACACAGCCATAATGACCTTCTGCTGTGGCTCCCACCAGGAACCAGCTGTAGACTTTGTGTCTCAAGGCCAGCACCTACCTACCACAGTTGCACAAGGTATTGGTATCACTCAAGAAAACATGCACACAGGTACTTCTCATCTATTGGAACAATGTCTTAGTTACTTTTCTCTCGGTGTTGAGACAAACTACCTAACACCCAAAATTAAGGAACGAAGGGTTTATTTAGCTCACAGTTTGTGGCGGTTTCAATCCATACCTGGCTGGCTCCAAGGCAGAGTGGCACATGGCAGGGAGCAACTGTTCATAGTGGCAGAAAACAGCAAAAGCAGCAAGAAGACAAGGGAAGGAGCAGCAGCAAGCAGTCTCTTTCCCTCCCTGACACTGTATGCAAACTACCTGCCCCAGGGGGGGTGTAGCACTCACACTCATAATCCCAGCGTTGGAACAGGAATCCATCATAAACTCTAGAAGCCTACCTGATGACTGCATGAAAATTTGAGGGGACATCCAGATACAAACCATGAAAGACATCTGGAAACAACTGTTTCAACAGGAAAGGCAACGGGAAGTCCAGACCTAAGTGTGCAGATGCAATGTTCAACTGCTAGAACAGCAGGTGCTAACCCTAACCCAGTGGAGATGACCTGCACTCTTCCGGAGTGGCTCTTCACACACCAAACAGGAGCCTTCAGTCACAGGAGCTATTGCACACAGATATCAGGGCTCTCACAGACTCCGGAACCAGAATTTGCACTGAGGACGTAAGAAACAAAATCTCTGAGTTCAGTGTGATAGTGAAATTTAGCGAAAGCGTCTCAAGGAAAAAAAAGGGTTGGGGATATAGCATCCCTGGCTTCAATGTCCAAAACTACAAAAAAAAGCAAATTAAAATTCTAAACAAAACAGGCCCCTAGAGGGGCAGTTTGGTAGAGGCATCAAGCTTATCTGGTTCCAAGAGGGGCAGAGTTCGTGGGGCAGATCAGGGTCATCTCTTCTGACAAACTGAAACTGAGGCCTGCCACTGTCTACAGACCACACACTCCAGGTCACATGGGTGCTGAGGAAAGAACTGACTCAAAACAGATCTAAGCAAGGAGATATTTCTGGAACACCCATCAGATTCAAACACAGTACCCAGCTAGAAGAGCTCCTGAACTAGAACCAGTTGTACAAACCATGAACTACTCCAAACAGTAACAGACACCTAGAAAACAGAGTGTCAAAAAAATCCAGAAGCAGGGGCTGGGGATTCAGCTCAGCGGCAAAAGCGCCTGCCTGGCAAAGCGCAAGGTCGTGAGTTCGGTTCCCGGTACCGGAGAAAAACCAAAAAACAAA